CTTAGCCAAATCTGACCAGCTGGAAACTGAGGGAGGAGGTGGGCAAACAGAAGGATGTGCTTCCCCCCACCCTAGTCCTCCACACCAACCCTTCCAGCACAGAAAAGATTTGTGATTTTACATTCTCACAATACTGTGCAGTATCATGCTACTCTTTTTGGGACTGCTGTTGCACAGGCTTCCCATGGTGCTGCACAGCTCTGTCATGCTTGGAAGAAGACCCAGGTTCTTCAGGGAGATTAAGCACCATCCTAGTCTGGAGCATTTCTTACCAACTGCTGTTGGTTAGAAAGTCCTGAAAGTTTGTTTGTTCTGTGAATCCAATACCTAAGCATTTAATTTTGGCTGCACGCAGAGGGTTAGCCCGAGTGCTATGCAATGCTCTGGGTGGCAGGATGGACAAAACTTAAAAGCGACAGTGCTGAGTGGTTTAGTGACTTGTTGTCCCTTATAAATTTTACCATCTTATCACTGACAGTCAGTGGAGCTGCACCGTTAATTCCGTAATAAGAGGTTTGTGTTTTTGGAACGAAATATTCCCATGCCACTTGTATGTGGCTTAGCTGCTGAAAACAAAGCTTTTATCTGTCACAGCTTTTCTAGATAGCGAGTCCTTTCTCCATTGTTTCTGCTGAATGTCATCTGGAGTTTCTCTACAGATGTTCAGGGTTGAATTCAGTCCCTGGTTACCCATCAGTCCAACAGGTTGTTCTTGCAGAGCCGAACAAAGACACAGTAGCTTGTGCTGTGTATCTTGATGGAAAACCTCACTGGATAGAGCTGCACGCTAGAGATGTGTGTGCTGCAGGCATAAAAACTTTTGTTCACATGGCTCCTTTAAGTAGGCATGTTGTTGCAACTATGCCCTCTTTCTGTGATGATAATTTATGAGATCGAGCAGGGCTGAGCCTGAGCATTCTCTGAGTGGTAAACTCTTCATAGGTGGTGACCTTCCCTGGCACTGTTATTGCTGAATTTTGACCCAAACTGGTGTAGGGTAATGGTGTTAAACTCTTTGAGATGCTGCTGTCAGACTGTACTGCTTGCTGACATGATTTAGGCCTCGTCTCTTTTAATCTGAAGAGAGATTCTGATGTTCTTGCTCAGGGAATGGCATTCTGCCAAACTTATATACCTACTTAGTGCTTTCAAAGCCATTCTGCTTTTCATTTCTCCTTTTATGAATCTTCTTCTGCATCAGTCCCACAGAACTGCAGCAGCCTTATGCCTATTGGATCTGCCTCATTACAATGGGGAACCGCAAAGAAAACTCCCCTCCATGCAGAAAGCCAGCACAAAATGGAGGGTACTGGTCAATTCACACTCAGCTGAAAAATCCTCCGTTGAACATTGCAGAGACTTCATGGTAAACTCTGTACAAAGGTGATTTTCATGCAGAGCATGATGCACAGTCTAAAATTGTCATTGCTTACTCAAAAGCTAAAAGGAGTTGAAACAGGCAGTTAAAAGTGGAATCTGTCTCTGTCTGCAAACTGTAGTGCTGTCCTTTGGGATAAAAGGTGCTTGAGGAAGGTAAGTTATGACAAGAATGAAATATTCCTGTCTGTCTCTGTCATGAGGTGATGCTCGAAGTCACACACATGCAGAGAGAGAAAGAATGGTCCCTGGCAGGGGAGTTTTCATGAGGCCCCAGCACTGACCCATGCAGTGTGAGGATTCTTGAGTTACAGAGAGAGGAAGAAACAGGATCAGAAAAACAGAACTGGTTTGAAGTTCAGGTGATGAAAAGTGGTAGGCTGGAGTTCAAAGACAGGATTATTGGCTAGTGTTGCTTTAGTAGTTGGTGGAGGAAGAGCTTAAGGCCGCATCATTACTGCATTGCTGATTTATCAACACAGCCAATGCTGTGTACGGTATTTGAGTCACTTCTAAATCCAGCCGCTAGCAATGAAAAGCACATTTAATCCATGTGTTAGATTGTTTGAAGAGGTATCTGTCTCCTGGTCTCTCCCCAGTGTTGGGATTGCTGAAATTGAAAAGGAAGTAAGAAAGGAGATTTTAACTGTTTCACAAACCCCTCTCCTTTTGAGGGAGACATCAAAACACATCTCCAGTAGCATCATTAATGTTTGGGATATTGAAAAATGAAAGGCTTTCCCCCCTCTTGCACCCTACAGAGAGAACTCACACTGTCGCTTCTGTGAATAAGGGGCAAAAATCAAAGACAGGATTTGTATTTAAACAGTTTATTGTTTTTAAGTGTGATGGGTTTTTTTCTTCTCAAACTGGGATTAATGCTCTGCACTTAGGAGTTCCAGGATTCATCTGCACTGTTGCCTCTGATCTCTCTGCAGCAGCCCACAGGTACAAGATAAAACACTGAAAAACATCCCTCATGAAAGTAATTCTCCTTTAATCTTTTTCTTAGTTCTCTTCCATGAAAGAGTATAATTGTTTAACAGTGTTCTCTCAATGGTTAATTCCTTTTCGATTTAATACCCCTGTGCTCCATTATCATGCAAGGGGCTCACACTGGCTGTGGGAGGTTATAGGCTGAAGCTTCAAAAATGTCAGTGCAAGAATAGAGGACAGTTCTCAGATCAGGCCTGAGTTGCACCTGCAGAGTTACAGCAATGCCTGGAATAAGACTGGGGCAATCAGAGGACAAAACTATGCTATATTTGCAGTCTGAAAAGGTATCCAAAGTAAGAATTAAAGAGCATCAGTTGGTCAACAGAGAGGAAAGGGGGTGAAAATGTTTAGAATAGCTGGAAAGCTGAACACTGAGAATAAAGTACATTGGTAAAACATAAGGTGTTACAATTCAGTATTGATGAATATTGACAAAAACCTAAGGCTGTGTACTGGAGTAGCAGCTGTATAGCAGATCAATACTAAGCTATGTACTCCAACATACATGGGAGGCCCCAGCACTGAAACACCACCAGTTGCTGTAGGACAGGTTCATGCTGGACGAGCAGGTCTGTCTATGGACTGCTGAAATATTTGCCTTGGTGCCGCATAGCTCACATCTGGCACATGAATACAAATTCACCTCTAAGCAGCAAAAAAGAGGGTGCCAACAATCCAATAGGAAGCATGTGGAGATCTTTTTACAGTTAAAAATGAGATGTAACAAAGCTTAGAACTAATCTCCAGTGATATGGCCCCTCTTATGGATCACTTTATCTGGGCATTTTTAGTCAAATGTAAAGGGACTCTGCAAGCAGAAAACAGACAACTTAGCCAATAAATAACTGCTTTATACAGTTAGCACACTCAGATGCTGGCTAGGATTTAATGAAATATTAGGCATTTTAGTATGCTTCTCACTTCTGTAAAGGTACCCAAAAAGTCTTTGCTGGTGAGGCAGGCATCAGTCTATAGGGAAGAGTCAGCCTCCGTGATTGCCATCTACCACCGGCTGGGTCAGGACTGATGCACTGACAGCTCAGTGATCCAAATGACTTGTGATTGGTCCTCAGCTAGACTGACAGCCCCTACTAAACCTCCTATGGTTTTGTTTTTCATGTCTGTTTCCATGTTGGTGTTTTCCACTTGAATCCCTAGACTACTGCTGGTGCCATCTCAACAGCCCTACCTCTGTCTATAATTTTTGCCCCGAAGACTTTCTCCCCGTTCATTCCCAGCGGTTTGAGTCAAGTTGCACTGTATCAGAGCTTGGCCATGGATCTCTGGTACACATGTAATTAAATCCTTGGGCTGTATGTCAAAGGAGGAAGTTTATAGCAGGTATCACAGAGGAGTGTTACAGTCACCTGTTGATTTTAAAGTGGCAAAAGTTTGGAGCTTGCTCAGTATAAGCACTTTATATTTCAGGGATCTTGTCTCAGTTCTAACAGGAGACAAGAAATAGCTCCCTAACTAGAGCTGTTCGTACAGTTTCTTTCTAGGGCTTTCTGATTAAGAATACTTTGGATGAGGCAAGTTGGCACGTCTCAAGCTGTAAAGTCTGGGTGTCTTTGTGAGGGGTGTTAGGTAATGGAATCTTTGACTTCAGGATAATTTTTCCCAGATGAACCTAGTTTAGTAACCAAAAAACTTACTCTTACAGTAGAGCCGTCTAACAGTCTTCATAAGCCAGGCTGCAAGAGCATCTACCAGCAGTGCACTTGCTTAGTGATGCACTACTTAGCTATTTCTTGTCTTGCCACTGGCGGCTTCACCACTGGGCTGCAGGATGCATGATCCAGCCATAGGAAATCAGTAGCTCTTGATTATAGAAGTGGTCCTGCTGGGGTACATCTGAGTTACATAAGCAGGAAGTGGTGAAGAAGCAAAGCTTATGTTGCTGCTTCCCCTGCCACACCTGCTCTGCTGATGAAAAGCGGGCTTCGGTTTGCAAGCTGTTTGGTACATTTCAGGTTCCTGGGTTCCAACACTGAGGCAGGGTAAGTGCATGCCTTAAATTTGTCAGTGCTAGAGTTTCACTCTCTGCCTGCTCCAAAATAAGGGAATTCGGCCTTTCTGCAAATAGTTTTTCCAAGCTGAAATTTGTGGTCGTCCATGCTGAGCCATCACAGATGAAAGACTCTTTCAACCCGAGTATTGCAGCCCCTGCTGAAGAAAAAAAGTTGTTGTTTCTTTTTTTTTTCATTCTGTCCCCAATTTGTCTTACTCTTGAGATAAATAGTAAGTCACTACAGAAAGAATTGCATGACAGTCACCTGCATTACTCGGAACTGTGATAAGAGTAGTGGTTGGTCTATGCGAAAGTTTTTCCCTGCTACCAGCGTATTTGGGTGATGTGCCCAAACTTCCATGAGATTGCTACAGAGAAAGAGATCTGTTAGAATAAGCATGCACAATAAGTTGTTTAACTACCGACTTCAACTAATTATAGCCTCTTAGTTGCGCCATCTCTTTTAGTTGCTAATATCTTTCTATGTCTAGTAACTAATGTCTACCAAAGACTGGTGCATGCTCATCCATGTACAAATCACAGCATTGCCTATGAGCTCTCTAGAGGCTAGACTCAGCAGTCCCAGCTGATGCTGACGAGCATATACTTCTTCCAGCTTTGCTCTGCCACCAAGACATAGTATGGAAGCCATCGCCAAGTTTGATTTCAGTGCTTCTGGAGAGGATGAGTTGAGCTTCCAGGCTGGAGATATGCTGAAGGTAAGTGGAGCCCCAGGTATAGCTGAGCATACTGACAGACCTTTCAATGCTTCATTTCCCTTGACAAAGCAGATTAGGACATCAATAAACTGGGATAAAAATGCAGGATACTTGTCTCCCATGGGGCTTGCTATAGGTCAACCAACAGTTCCCAGGTCATTTGAGTCTGTGTCCACGTCATTTGATTTTAAGTCCATAAACTATGGATCTAGCTGCCTTGCAGTCCTCCAGTACTCAACAGGGAAGGCTAAGTACCTTTGCTGGGGCAGAGATGCAGTTCTTCAGTAGACAGATTTTGAGGGTCCTGTCTGTTTCCATTGACTGTATAGGTAGCCTGGGGTGACTGTGTTTAGGATGACTATGTCTAAAGGCAGGCAGGATGAGTGTGGTCCAGAGAGATTGCTGTCTTCCTTACTTTCAGGTCTTAAACTGTTTAAAAGATAATTATCATGCACTATAGAACTTATATCTAACTTTTCCCTGTAAGTAATTACTATTAGTTGCCAGAGGGGTTTTAGACAATAGCAAATGGAAGTCCATGAAAGAGTCTGTTACACAATTAATGGAAGAGTTTTAAGAGGTTCTGGGCTAATAATGTTATATACACCCTTGCAGGAATTCAGCAGTGGGGGAATGCTGAAGTAGAATTGATCATATACAATACAGAGCATGTGAGAGTCTCTTTAAAATTGATTTACATGTGTTATGGTAGAACAGTTCTTGTTAACCCTAACAAAGTCCCACAGATTAAGCCACACACACCTCCACCCTCATTATTTATCCACTTCTTGGTCCCAGTATAGCTGTCCTGTTTTGATTGAAAATGCCTGAGTATAACCATTGAATACTATTGAATATAACCACTAACTCTAACCATTTTATGATTCTATTCTGTAACTCCTTTCTAAGGCCTTAACACCTCCACTGTCTGAAGGGATTATGTACAGCAATAGGATCTAAACCCTTGTTTAGCCAGGGAGCATACGGGGACCCTCCCTGTATCATCCCAGCTATTCCAGCTAATAACCAGATACTGGGGCTCAGCCTTGTCTTTTCCATCACCACCATTTTTTATTTTACTGGCCTTCTAATACTTGAAGCTTAGACAAAGCTGATGGCACCCAAAACTCATTAAGAAAAAAAAGTAGCAGCTTTTTTCCAAAGGGTTATGAGAAGGTTCTGGAGAAGTCTCTGACTTTTCATTCTGGCTGAACACTCTCATTCCTAATTGCTCCTTAGGTCAAAAGTAGTCTCCACGTCTGTACTGTCCTGTGATCTTTACCTGGTATCTTCTTCCTCAGGAGACTTTCATCAAGTCCCTGGCTGGGGTGATAGTGTTGGCCATATCACTTTTCCTTCTGTTCCTCAGTTTCCCTTCCTGTAAAATTATAAGCTAGAGCTTCCTTTCAAAGTATGTTGGAAGCTGCTGATGAAAAGTGCCAAGTAACAGGACAAATTGGTATTCTTATTAGTTGTCACAGAGACTTCACTAGCAGAAAAGTCAGACTGTCTCTTGCTTTAACATCCTTTAGGTAAACAAAATAACACCATTGCCACCCAAACCATAGTAGCAGTAAATTAGCCTAACATCTCTCTTCTAGCATATACAAACATACATTCATACCCTGCCACGAGCCCCCTCCTGCTGCCTGCACAACCTGCCAGCTGTCTTTTCTGATTCATAAAGAAGATAAGATAAACAGTATTGATGTAGAGATTAGAAAACAGGAAACATGAGGCCCTCAACCAGCAGTGACAGGAGGAAATCCATCATCTCAGCCCCCCCACATCCTTCTCTGAGAGGATGACACACTGAGAGAAACCTACCAGCCCTGCACCGAGAGCAGCAGGTGGGTCTTTCTGGAAACCTTGCTGCCAACATAGCAGAGCCTGAGCATGATCAGGGTGCAGCTATCATCTTTGGTTGGCCACAGCAGCAAAAAAGAGCCTTAATCTGGCACCCAGGGATGGGGAAGGCAATGACTATACAGGCAGGAAACTCCACAGCTTTCTATTCCCCAACCTTTCAGTATCCAAATGCATAAAAAAGACCTATGTGGCAAGCAAGGCAATGGAGAATCATTCCCAGAGACAGTAACATCCTGTTTCCAACACTAAGCAGTTAGAATGTGGTTGGGCTCCCAAAGATTTGAGATTGGCTTACAAAACAAGTATTGTTAACAATAGATTTTAAATTAAGTCTTTTCCACTTGCTTTCTCCTTTTAAAACTGTCATAGCTCATGCTTTCAGGCTCCTCTCCAAAACCAGAGAGAACAGAAACATGTTCTATTTCATAAAGCAGAATTATGTCCCAGGAGTTGGAATGTCAGACAAAACGCCAAAACCCAACACATTTGCGAATCACAATGTAAAATCACAATGTGGTTGTATTCCTGTCCTCTCTCCTCTAGCTTAGGGGTATATCGGGGCCATCAGTCAGTAAACAGTGAACTTGGGCAGTCCCTGGTCAGCAGTGCAGTCCCTAAGGACCATTAGAGTCAACATTAATATAAGCACACTTGAAGCTGCTCCAGTGTGCACTGAGGACTGGCTTCCTGCAATCCTACAATCTCTTAAGTGTAATAGTGGCTATAAAATATCTTTTGCCTCCTTCTTTTATCTACCTTGGCAAAGCTGAGGGCAGCTGAAGACTTAACCCACTGAATAATCTCTTGCAAAATGGCATGTGAGAGCACACAGTAACGTCTGTGCAGTCATAACACACACACGCAGAGATACAGCTGTATATCACTCTATACCCATATGTGTCAGAGGAGTTTTCACAAATTTTTTTCCTCCCTTGTGAAACTGAGATGCTCCAGTACCAACAATTAAAACCAGCATACAGAACTCCTTAAACCCCTATTAAATCCTTCAGAGATGAATTTCTCCATTTCACAGACATCAGAGACATGCAGATGGTATCCCCAGCCACCTGGACGGGCCTTCAGATGAAGGGATAAACTTAACAATCTGTCTAATTCTACTTGGCTTTCTCTATTGCTTTGTTCACTCTGAAGTGGTCATCAGCTACTAACCTCTCTGCACAGTGGGTGGGAGGTAGAGGATATGTAGAGTTCTCTTCTATTCTTGGAAGAAATTTTAGGTTTCTTCCAGAATCTTGATTACTTTTACGTTTTTCAGAGATGTTTATTCCATCCATTTCTCCATTGCAGGTTTTGAGCTCCCAGGAAGACTGGTACAAGGCTGAGCTCAGAAGTCAAGAGGGCTATGTTCCTAAGAACTTCATTGATTTTCACGTTCCTCTGTAAGTGTCACAGACCAGTGCACCACCACTTCACATTTCCACAGCATGCAGTCAAGAGCATGTGTGCATGCATGCACAGAGGAAGACATGACAAAGGAACCCCTGGTTATGACATAACACAATTTAAGGCTGGCAAGGATTGCCATAATGCTATATCCAGTTCTGCCAGCACACCTTATTTCTACCCTGAAACATCTTCTGTTCTTTCAGAGCTGAATGGCTCTTGGTGCTCTCCATCATTCCCAAGTGGCCCCTTTGCTGCTGTTGCTCAGAGGGATGTCACTAGGATGTGGCAGGACCTGCATTTAGATCTCCTCAAAGAGGAGAACAGTCACTGTGTGAAGTCTCGGCAACAGAGACAGAGGCTGAACACAAAAGGAAGAGCAAGAGACCTCTCTGAAATTAATTATAAAATGTAATTCCCTCCCTTCCCCCCCGGCTCCTGAGGACATTAACTCCATTTTCCGCATCCTGCCATCCGCATTCCCACCCCACGGAAAGTGTGTGTGTTTCTCCTGATACACTAGAGGTCAGTACAATGCTACATGAAATGTGACAGCTGGTGTTACCTCATGGATTGACAGAGATGATAGACCAGACATGCCGCCCTGCTCCCACGCACATGCAGACACACACACAGACACACGAGCACCCTTCACTACGTGTCGTGACTGCACACCCAGACATAGTGCTGCCAGGGGACAGGCATACCTTCACTTCTTTCTTCCCACTGAGTAGATAGTACTGTACTTCCAGAAAGGACTGATAGGTGTTTAAATGCATGTAAAATGTGCTGTCCAGCCCTGTGCCAGAAATATGATAATGCATGTCATTTTTACAACCTTTTCCTTTCAGTTGGCAGAAATGCTCCCTGAACCCACTCTTATTGTCCTCCCTTGAAAAAGTGCTGCAGCATTTCAGGAGCAAAAAGGCAGAGCATGCACCAAGCGCAGTACTGAGAGTGGTAACACACAGGTGCCCTGAGCAGCTGAACTGGGAGTTACAGGGATTTTGAGGGTCCAAGTAAGTGTCCCCTTTGGAGGTGGCACTTGCTGTCCTTTTTGGGCATAAACCAGACTGCTTGGCTGAACTGAAGGATATTATTAGTCTGCTGTGCAAATATGGGCTTGTACTTTAGACCCTCAGGCAGATGAGATCACCCAAGTCAGTTGTTCTTGTTCTTTCTTTCACAGGGCTGTAGCATCATGCAGGAGCAATAGCAGCTTCTTTTTTCACACACATTTTTCTTATGATGCTTTTTATGTGGAAGAGCTGTGAAGAAATACTTCCACTTTGACACTTCTGTAAGAATAGCAAGTCTGCCCTTTGAAGCAGTTCAGGCCAGATGCTAGACAGAACCAGATATAGGGAAGAGAGCTGTCTTCTGTTTTTCATGGGCCATTTTTTCTCATCTTTCTCTTGTCAAGTTATTATTGAGACCAATCATCCATTCTGATTAAAGTCTGATTTTCCTTTGCTAATGATGGATGCTGGGGAGGGACTCTTCGTCAGGGACTGTAGTGATATGACAAGGGGTGATGGGTTTAAACTGAAACAGGGGAAGTTCAGGTTTGATATAAGGAAACAGTTCTTTACTGTTAGGGTGGGGAGGCACTGGAACAGATTGCCCAAAGAAGTGCCAAATGCTCCATTCCTAGCAGTGTTCAAGGCAGGATGGACAGAGTCTTGGGTGACATGGTCTAAAGTGAGGTGTCTCTGCCCATGACAGGGGGGTTGGAACTGAATGATCTTAATTCCAACCCGAATCATTCTGTGTTTCTATGATACATAAGTAAACTGTGGTGGTAGTAAAGAGAAGTATAATGAAACTCAAAAGTGGAAATGACACAAGATTATGAAACTATCAGTCCTTAATTTGAATGCAATACAGGCAATGAAGCATTACATAAGAGCAGAAGACTGCAGATTGTAAATTTTATTAGCTGCGGAACAGACATATATAAGTGTACATAATTTATTTTTTTTCCTACTGAAAAACTCCTATTGATGCTGTATTATTTTACTATTTATGGTGACTTTCTTAGTATTACTCTAGTGCCTTATACTATTGTTTGTCTAAATTTACATAAGTATGCTTATGTATTCTGTGTTTCTGGGATTTTGTGATATTATAACTCTTGCAGAAATCAATTTATTAGTACTAAAATTTTCATGGCTTGCTTCTGGTAAAAATTTATTTGTGTCCCTTGCAATATATCCATCACAGTCCAGTAATTTTAATCAGTTTACCTAAAGCAATTTGATATATGTCTGAGAATTATGTGTGTATGTATACGTACACATTTGTAATTTAAGATGGCTTTGACTAACACCTTGCAGTACTGTGCCTCTAATTACAGTTTCAGCTGAGGGTTGCCTTTTAGCAGGCCAAAGCTTACATTGTTCTCTTTGCATCTATGTGTTTTTACTGCTCAAAGAAAATAGTCTGCACCCATCAAAACCCTGTACCTTAGCATGTACAGGGCCACTGGGAGTAGTCATGTGGACTCCTCTGATCCTTTTGTTTTGTCTTTTCTCCACCCTGCTTATTCACGTTCTCCTTATCCTCAGCTTCTTTTGTTCCTCACCTTAAGTCACGTCTCTTATTCATGTCTCCATGATTTTTCCCACTTGGCAGCTGGTTTGATGAGAGGATATCCCGCCACGAAGCAGAGAACATCCTCATGAGCAAAGGAGTTGGCTCCTTCATCGTCCGAGCCAGTCAGAATTCTCACGGTGACTTCTCCATCTCTGTCAGGTATCTGCTGCTCACAGCATTTTCCTACTTCTTTTCCAATTTAATGGTGTCCCTAGTCTCCTCTTGACAGGACTCCTAATGTGGCGTAGCCTCTCAGGGAGTCTGCACGCTGCCAGTCACTGGCAGTGCTGCTATATTGTGAATGAGAACAAATTAGGCATCTGATTCCCAAATGTTTCTTCCTCTTTTCAAGTGACACAGTGAATACCCCATTCCAAAGACGCATCCACTGATGACTAGCTTCTCTGAAAGTGCTGCAGCAAAGCAGAGTGGTACATAGGATGTATCCCACAGTGCAAAACATGTGCCTTCCATTTGTTTTAATTCCCTGACAGCTCTGGTTACTGAACCCAAGAATTCCACTAGTACCATTAAGAGATTACTATTAAATCGTTAACTTATTTCCTACAGGTCACTAAACGGCCACTGGACAGGAATGGCTTTTAGTTGCTTGCAGCCCAGCTGCATTGCTTGTTGTAACCTCACCCTTCTCAGACTATTTGCTTCAAAGCCAAGCTCTTAAATAATAGCCAGTTTCCTAATTTTCCACCTAACAGTTGATAAGCAGTTTTAAATTAGTGATTAGCAATGTTTTTTTTCCAAGCAGTGTGCACTTTCTGATTCAGGGAGCTCAAAAAGTATCTGTGACAAATGCAGGAAAACATTCTGGTTACTTCTACATCAGTAACCATCAATAAGCAAAGTACAGTCAGGGTCTTTTTCTGGCCCTGATACCAAGCAGTGTTGCAGATCTCTGATGTGTATAGCTAAACCCTCTCCACCCCACAGAACAGAACAGCTGTATTCAAGCAACTCACTGCGAACAGTCCCTGGTCCACTTTGTCACCACAGCCATGGCCCAGCACTATCTATGTGAAGGCTTTTGGTTTAGACCAAAACCATGCTAGCACTTTAACAGTTTGTGTGACTGTGGCACTCCAGGATAGCATTCAGTCCCTGACTGGTCGTCCCCATTCAGTTTATTTGTGCAGATGTAGCCATCTGAGATGCATGTTTTGAGTTCCTGGTATTAAATTACCAGGATGTGCAGGTAATAATTCCTTGGGTTTTGGGGGTTGTTTGTGGGGTTTTTTTGTTGGTTGTGTTGTTTGTTTGTTTGTTTGTTTGTTTTGGGGGGTAGGAAGAATGACCAGTAGTAATGATATTACACTAGATATTATACAATTATAAAACTCAGTGTATGGATTCATGTGACTGTGTCTGCATGTAATGGTGATGCCTGTGGTGTGAAGTCAGTGCAGACTTAATAGGATGTTAACAGGAACCTGCAGAGACTAGGGGGTAGACTACAACTGCACTTTTGTCTCCCATACAGAGTATGAAATAAAGCTATTAGCTATTTGTGGCCCTGAAAGCTCCTCTGGCCTTCAAAGGAGAGGCTTTAAAACCTTATACTTTGTTCTGATAGTGTTTTGTGACTGGGCAGCCCTGCCGCACTCAGTGTTTGTAACTTCATGAGTCTTTTGAAATACAGAGCCACAGCTAGGTCCAATACACAAAAGGATTACCATTACTTTACTTTCCAGAAGTCTAGATTTGGTCAAGCAAGAAGTTTTGGTACCATTCTAGAAAAGACTTCTTCAAAAACAATGTAAGTGCAATCTGGTTGATGATCTCTTACTTTTTCAATTGGATCCAGGCATGAAGATGATGTGCAACACTTCAAAGTGATGAGGGATTCAAAGGGTAACTATTACTTGTGGACAGAGAAATTCCACTCACTAAACAAGCTGGTGGACTACTACAGGACAACTTCCATCTCCAGGCAGAAGCAGATCTTCCTGAGGGACAACAGCCGAGAAGAGAAGGTAAACACAAACTATCCTTAGTAGTTTCTCAGTAAGAAACCTTTCTTTGGAAGGAACTCAGCCCATGACAGTGTCTCAGTGTCAGGGGAGAGAGTCTGTCCTTGGAAACTCAATCACATCCCTACAGCTCTAAAACATAGTTTTTTAGTTGATTCAGTAGTAGGTACAGTTATATAATTGAGCAGAATTTTCCGATTCTGTTTTGGATAGCAACAGGCAGTGCTGCAAATCTGCACAGAGATGCTTTGCTAAAGCTGTGCTAAGGCCCCCAGAGCTGAAATTCTAAGATACCATATACATCCATGGGAAACAGGACTTACCTTATTGAAATGACTAAATTTCATAGGGGCAACTACACGGCTGACTGGTAGGTTGTGTCTGAGAAAAATTTGAGTCTGGTTTCTTAGTGTCCCTTAATGCACCCAGAATACAGCTGATTTTACAGTTGAAAGTTTGTCTACTCAGAAGAACCATCCATTTTCTGTTACTGAGTGAACACAGTAAAGACTGTGGAAGAACCGAGGGCTGAACCTGGAGCAGTGGCTGGTAGGAACTGAAAATACTGTTGAGAAGAAGATAGCAGATACGGGAACAAGCTGTGCTTGTTCAGGAGCAATGTAGTATTTGTTTGAAAAAGCAGGGAAATCCCAGTCCGATGAATGCCTGGTTTTGTGCCAGGGGAACAAGCAAATGACATAGTAGAGACTGCTGTGTGTTGCACACACTGTACTGGGAGTAAGCATGTCTGGTCACTGCAGTAAGCAAAGTCCTGCTTTACTGGGAAACGGATTCTGGTATTAAATTACCAGGATGTGCAGGTAGAGGCAAGGCAGAAAGTACATGACTTGCTGACTATAGCATTAAACTTTTATGGGCTGCATGTGGGTCATTCTTGCTGACTCTGAAAGAGTGATAATATATTTTTCAGTCTGAAGAAGGGGCTTGTGGTGGTGTTTCCTTCTAGTCCACTTATGCAGAGCTTTAAAAATGCATTAGTAAGGTATAAAATAGAGGCTATGGAACCTACGAGAGAGACAATCACAGCGAAGGATTGTCTGGGGAAGGAGAAAGGAAGAGTGTATGCATGTATATCAGTAAAACAACCTGTTTGGGCTGACTGTGAGCAGGAAGAGAAAGAGAACAGCATTTGCTCTGAGATACAGACAGGCAAATGAAAGAAGAGGAGTCAAGTTTGCTTTGGCAAACACTCTGTACATTTGTTATGGTGATGGGCTCAGCAGGGTATGTTTAGCACTTGTCACAGTGGGGTTTCTGTTCACAATTCAAATTTCGAGATGCTACAGCCATATGACAAAATGATAGCAATATACAGATTTCAGTGCAGAGACAAATTAAGTCTAAGGGCAATATTTTCAAAAAGAGCTTGGGTCCTCTGACAGTCCTTACAACAGTTGCCACATTTTCAGTCTAGGACCTCCCATTACTACCTTGTCTTCAGATAGAGAATGGCTATGACAAAGATAAAATACAGGATTCCTGAATTGTCCTTCTGTTCAGAGGGGCAGGATATTTCCTTTGAAAGAGCCTCCAAGGTGGAGGGTAGTGTTCATGATCAGTGTACTATGATTCAGTCAAGGATGTGGTTGGAAGCAAAACCTGACCTCACTTCTATGATCTTTATTCCATCAGGAGAGGCATGGTAGTAGCCTGGAACGAATGAGCCGGGAAGGATTCCACCTGGGTGGAGCAGCTGGAGAAGATCATTCTTCTACATCCAAGAGATACGTAGAGCATCCTATCCCCACACTGCAGCAGCAACAGGTACTACCAAGAATGAGGAACTGGAACGTCAAGCCCTGGCACACGAGACATTGCCCTTAATTGCTTGGTAGCAAGTGAATAGTCACTTTGTCAGAAATCTTCCAACTGAATCTGCTTTAGGAAGCAGAGTCAGTTAGGTCTTCATACAGGAATAGCAGCAAAGATGGTGTTGGCTGGGGAGCTCCTTTGGTGTGTAACAAATAAGTGGGCTTTCATTTAGTCCTGTCATTTGTGACTGATTGACAAACCAGTAAAAAATAGAAGTCAGTATACAGTGGCCCTTTCACTGGGAATACTCCCAAGGAGGTTTTGGGCTCCCTCCCCAAAAAAGTGGAAAACAAGGACTGGTGTCATGTTTTTGCTTTGCTTAGGAAAGGACATAAAGTATCATCCAGCGAGAGTGCAGAAAAACACTTCCAAATCTTGCAAGCACACACATATATATTTTCAGGAACTTGTCTCTAGTTTATCAAGTAAATGAAACCTGCTTGTTGTATTCTGACTTATGCTACTGACATACAGCTCCACAAAATGCACCACAGGGATGAAAAATAACTATGGTAACCCTAGGAGTTTGGTTTCCTTCAAAACATTCCTCCTCTCTATTCTATGCCCTTTCTGCATACTTTCATCATGTTGCATCCTTGATGTATGAAGTTTATTTATTCCTTATCCTTGCATAGGAATGGAAAGGATAACTGCAGTAGCTGGTGCTCTCTTCAAAGTTCTTCCTGATTAATTTTAGGGGAAATAGTTTTCGTAGGGTTGGCTCATGTCTCTGGCCAGAGACAGTTAGCATCATCCAAGGAGAGGTCTTGTCCTACGGAAGAAATCCCAAACCATCTCCTGTAAAGCGTGAGAGCTCCTACATAGCAAGGCCAGGGACAATTGTGAAATGGCTGTTCTCTCATCAGACAAGCCGTGCTGCCTGTCAGGGGACTGCTGGTGGAGTAATACAGCTTCTGACAAAGCTGAGGGCCTGCGCTGTTTGGAGCACATTCTATGCATGAGTTACATTTGATACAGAGCAGAAACACTATAGGAGTGAAGTGTCTGTGTAGTAAGTCTTGCAGCTGTAAAGCCAGATGGAGTTCACTCAGTTTCTGGCAGGGACAGATGAGGTGCAAATTGTGCTCCAGTCTCAGGCAGCCTCAGCAACCTTTTAGGCTGACAAAGGCACAAGTGATACCAAGGGAGGTTTTGGAAGAGTAGGTGCAAGAAAGGAAGCAACAAGATGAAGAGGACAAAAGATGTTTACAAGAAACAGCAAGTGCAAGCTGTTGTTGTTCCTCCCCTCTGTTGACACAGCTCATGAGGCCCTGTGTCACTGAAGCACTGCTGCAACCTGAGCTATCATGATAACAGATTCTCTCACACCATTATCATATAAAAAAGCTTGGTGCATTCACTAAGGGCATGGAGGCATGAAGACAATCAGCACCTCTCAGTTGTGCACACAAAAGAAAACTTACTCCCTAGATGTTGTCTGCTTCCTCTCTCCATCTTTATGGGCTGATCTGTGTTGATATGACTTAAGATGTGTGATCATAAGGCTTCCTTTTTTTTTTTTTTCAACCTGATTTTGTTTCTTTCTTTTTTGGTTAATTGGGCTACTGGATTCTCAGGCTTGCTCCCTGCACTTTACAGCATGGAGCAGTCCAAGAAAAGTAAAGTAATGAGTCCTCAGATAGAGAGTTAACTGCATCATCATTGCTGCCATTCCATCAATATATGGGAAGAGGAAGAGGAAGGAGTGGGCAGGACTGGGGCATAATTACTCCAGATTGGCAAAAATCCCCTTTGCAAGCACGGTTTTTCACCTGCGAGTTACAACAGCCTTAGGTTTTCCCCAAAAGTGCCAGAGGCCAAAAAAGCCCCTCTCTGACCACTTTTCCCAGCAGCAGCAGAACACAGCTGAGGACACTCAACTTTCAATTTATAAGAAGGAAAATACAAAATAGAACAGCCTAAGGTGACCTCTTCAGTGAGAAGCATCGCTTGCTGGACTGCAGCACAAGGAAGCAGATATCTGAGATGATTTACTTGAGGGTTGGACCCTGACTCCCTGGCCACCAGTGACTCTGGAAGCTCCTCATTTATAATCTCAGCACATGTATTACTTTTATCTTGCTGTTTTCTTTCTAGGATAGATATGGCGGGAGTCTGGACAGAAGAGATGGGCTGCATGGGCTAAGGGACCACAGCCAAGGAAATGCGGCAGCTATGCAATGGAGACACACGGACACCTACCAGCAGACACCGGTAGGTGATGCACCTGGAAGGCCCCATTTACCCAATTCAGTGGGCCCCTTAGCAATGGCCAACTCTTTTGGACAATGTCACCTGCACAAAGGTTGCATCAGGAATAGTGTATTAAGCTTGTTGGGATGTATCTTAGAACATGTTTCTGAGTCTCAAGACTATTCCATCCACTTGAATCTGCTTCTGGGGCACTCTGAGGGTAGGATTATGGTGTTCTGTGAGCATAGTTCTAGAACTGCTCTCAAGGCCAGTCTTATTTTAAGTCCAATAGAGAGTTGCTTCATGATACTGTGCCATGCTACAGCGCTCCTTCTGTCTTGCAATACACTTGCAGCTACACTGTCTCTTCCACTACTTTTGCTTCAGTCCTGAGAAGATCTGTCATCACTCACTAATCACCAGCTGGCACAATCTTTTGGACCTACTATGCCATCAAAGTGGGACTCACCTACCTGGCACCCTTATCTGTCGAGCCTCTTAGCAGAGTGTGTAGTTTATCCAGATACGTCTGCAGACATCTCAGACTGCTCCCCTACCTGGATCCACACCTGGCAGCTGTCATTAAGTAAGCACCTGCTATGCAAATTCGTAAAGCATGGTGTCTTTCTCTGCCACAGCCCATGATTTCACTGCCATCAGCTCCTAAGAGTGTGACCTAAGGCATGCTCCTCTTCCTTGAAGAAATGTACAGCTCAGAACAACCAGAGAATCTAGATCCAAGGAGAGAAAGAAAGGACAGCAGACCTTTCTCAAGTGTGAGTGAAAAAGGACAGATTGGATCAGGAAATTTGGAACAAACTGAGAAACAGGAACACGTTTTCTTTTGGCAAAACCCCCAAATCTTTATTATAATCCATCTAAAAATATAATGGCTTTAATCCCTCAGAGGCTGTGGAAATGAATAACAACATGCCTTTGCCTGCCATACTCCATCAGTGATCTAGAAGCTATAAATCCAATTATAGGAAGGTCTTTATGTCCAGCCAAATAACTAGGAGCCATGTCCAAGCAGAGCCCTGAATGGAAGATATAGCAAAAGTTAATCTGTCTTCTAGCAGATCTCGTCATCTTGTGCCCAAAAAATATATCTCCCAAACTGTCCATGCCCAATGGTGCGGGTGCCAGCAGTTTCCCAGAAAAGAAGCCGCTATGTCCTTTAAAACCTGATTTCCAGTCAAAATTGGAGACTGACTGCAAAGTCTCTTACAATGAAGTTCTTACAAGAAAAGAACCTGACCACAGTGCTCATTAAAGTGCAAACCTGTAATAAACTGATAATCATAGAATCATAGAATAGTTAGGGTTGGAAAGGACCTTAAGATCATCAAGTTCCAACCCCCCTGCCATGGGCAGGGACACCTTGCCCTAAACCATATTACCCAAGGCCTCGTCCAACCTAGCCTTGAACACTGCCAGGGATGGAGCATTCACAACCTCCCTGGACAACCTATTCCAGTGCCTCACCACCCTAAACAGGAAAGAATTTCCTCCTTATATCCAATCTAAACTTCCCCTGTTTAAGTTTTAACCCATTACCCCTTGTCCTACCACTATAGTCCCTAATGAAGAGTCCACCGCCACCATCCCTATAGGCCCCCTTCAGATACTGGAAGGCTGCTATGAGGTCTCCACGCAGCCTTCTCTTCTCCAGGCTGAACAGTCCCAACTTTCTCAGCCGATCTTCATATGGGAGGTGCTCCAGTCCCCTGATCATTCTCGTAGCCCTCCTCTGGACTTGTTCCAACAGATCCATGTCCTTTTTATGTTGAGGACACCAGAACTGTACACAATACTCCAAGTGAGGTCTCACAAGAGCAGAATAAAGGGGCAGGATCACCTCCTTCAACCTGCTGGTCACGCTCCTTTTGATGCAGCCCAGGATACACCCAAACAGTTCCTAAATTCTGTTGATCTCAGGGGCCTGACCTTGGGCAGAGCCCAAGACCCTTGGGCAGGTTTAAGACCCGCCCGTATGCCCCAGAAGTGCCTGAAAGAGCAAGTACCATTCTTTACAATGTTCACTAGACTCACCTGTGTGCTGGTTCTGTTGATGTATCCCTCATACTCCTCTGCTTGCTGAGGACACATTTCTATATCTGTACCAGCACCAACTCACCATGTAGAGCCATTCACTGATAGTGTACAGCCCAGCAGGAATCAGGCAGGAGCAGCTCTCTGTACTCCCATACCTGGATTCAAACATGGCTACTACAGCTAATCTTACAGGGCAAAGGAGCCATGCGAACACTATTTTCTAAGGACCTGTTCTCAGTCTGACTTTTCACCTTACGGTGCAAATACCCATGAATTTAGTGAGGCTGCTGAGGAGCCAAGCACCATCCCTTGGGTGTGCCAGTAAACTGATTCCTTCTTCCTGGCATCTTGGCCACTTCATGATTTAATTGCCAGATGGTCTTAATTTCAGTGTAGTTTGTCCTCTCTTAGTGAGCGTATGTACTGGGGCATAAAAGGGGTGACAGGAGGATGATCTTTAAGAGTTCTGGCTCATTTTTTCCTGTCTGTTTCTATCTCCAGAGAACGCTATGGGTCCGTGCCTTGTATGACTTTGATGCTATGGAGCATGATGAGCTGGGCTTCCGCACTGGAGACATCTTAGAGGTCCTGGACAGCTCCAACCCATCATGGTGGAAAGGACGTCTGCGTGGGGAACTGGGTCTCTTTCCTGCCAACTATGTCACACCTGTACTCCTTTGAGGGCACAGAATGCCCCAGAGGGCCATGCTGGAGCTGCTTTTCTGACATGACATGGACAGAGAGGGTATGCATGCTCCCTTGCCCTCAGGACAAATGGTTTTGGTTTTGTCTTAATTTATTGGAAATTGATCCTTGGAAATGTTGGTATGAAAGGGAACTCTCTAAAGAGGATAGAATTTTTTTTTTCCTCTTTTTTTAACATTCATGAAGGGGAGGGAGCAAAAATCCTGGACTGTTCATTGAGACCTTTTTGGATCCTCCCTGTCCTTCCACTTCTTTAGTTAAGCGTTGTTAACTTCCTGCAGTTAGGTTTGTTCTGTGGAAACGCACCTCAGACAAGTCAGGCTTAAGTATTCAGGTATCTCTACCTGTTCTTTTGAAATCTGATAGCACTCAGAGTCTCTTAAGGTTCTATTTTGCCTTTCTTTCAGAGGCAGGAGGAATGCTCAAGTGAATGAAACTATCATTGGTAATCACATTAATCCTTCAGGTAGAGAAGGAAAATGAGCAGGGGCCTAGGCTGAGGTGCAGGGCAGCCTTGACTTTTCTAAACAGTTTCTGACTTACCCCTGCAGTACTTTCTGTGGGTGTGGACTGTATGGATATACTAGATGAAGGGAAAGGATCCTGTAAGCTTTTGTACACACCAGTGGTGAAGGTATGGGAGAGTGAAGCTACTTTCTTTTCTTCTGATAGTCCTGCTCTACTTTCTGCACCCCATAACAACAATTTATCCCATTTTCAAGCTGCTCTCTGAGGTACCTAGGCTTATGTTACCCATCCTGGTTAGAGCAGGTCAGGCCCTTCAACTAAATTAATATCCACTGGGTTGAATATCCTTTGCTGATTCCTTTTATAAAACTGAACTGGGGAGGGTTCGGAGAGATTTGGTGGCAGAAGTTCTTTCCCTGAGTATGTGGGGTGTTCACGATCACTGTACACAACTCTGTCTTGCTAGTGAAATGCCTTGTCCAACAGGTTAAGCTGTTGCTTTACAGTATGCAGGGAATAAATTTGTGACCATCAAGCAGTCTGTTCTCTGTTCCAGTTTCTTTTGAATGAAACAAGGGAAATGAATAGGTTTTCAAAACATTGCTGAGTGAATGCCAGACGTGATACAAATATACTGCAAATGCACATTTTAAATGATCCAAACCCTGTGAAGAAGACACTGCTGCATAACCACTGCTCAGGCAAGTTGATATTAAACAAGCTGCCTGAATTTTTCACACGTGGGACCTTGGCAGTCAGCAAGGGAGTGATTATTTATCATTTGTTGGAAAGAAAGAAAAGGCAAGTGAAAAGCTCTACAAAAAAAAAAAATCAGACCCAGCAAGAAAAATGTTCTTACCTTTCATTAGTCCCAGTAGGTGAAAAATAATCCAGGAAATAGGGTCTTGGTAAAGTCCAATTCAATGTAGCTGGCCTAAATAAAGCTGCCAGTTTGACAGAGTATTAGCAGAAAAAAATTCATTGTCAATTTTTTGAGAGGACTTTACTAAAAGCAGATTATTCATGGGTGAAGTAAAATGAGAATAATTAACAAGGCATATAAGCTCTAAATAGAACAGAATACTTTGAAAGACATATTCAGAGCTTATCCCCATTGGTGGAATGAAAAGATGCCATATGACTTCCTGGGCTGGACTTGGTCCTGTTCCCTTGCAGGAGCTCTGTTACGGAACTTTAGCATCTTCTTTTGAAGTGAAGTCCATGAGGCTTCTTTTGGAACAAACTACCTTGTTACTGTGTTGGTGTGAGGGTGTAACCTCAGTGACAGTGACTCCACAGTTTGAAAAGTGTTTTGTTGTGATTCACTCTTTTTAAATTTTTATTATTTCTTTTTTTTTACTAAGGCAATATCAAATTTGGAAGAGAGAGGGTTAATACTCAGTGAGAGAGGGTTAAGACCAGGGGAAGATGGAAGCAAAGAAACCAGAAAAGGCAAAGGAGGGATATGAATTATGAATCTTTCATATTCAAGTCTGGCTGAAACAGAAGAAATGGTATGTTCACAGTCATTCCCACCATGTCAAATCATCTTTCAATTATTATTATTATTATTATTCTTTTTTATTAGTTACTTTAAAATTGGAAGCAATGTCTCCTGTTCCTTTCCTCAGCACTTTAACGACCCTCTTGCTAGTGAAGATGTACTTGCACAAAATTAATTGAAGATAAGGCACTTAGCAATTTGATAGCTCTTCACACATTTGAAACCCCTTTGCAGAGATTAACTAATTAAGCACGTCTAAGTAGTACATTGTAAGTACCCCCGTGTTAACTCATGATTCGTTTGAGGAAGAGGTAAATTTTCACGTGATTTTTTAATTGATGTTTAAGGAATTAACACTTAAAGTAATTAGCATTAAAGGACTGCACGGTAATTATGGACAACATACCAGAACCACAGTAAAATCATGATTTCCCATTATGAGCAGCACCTAATGACAGCAAAATTACTAGGATGCAAAGGTGTCATGGCGTCTGTGATAACTATACTAGTGCCATGTTCTGCACTGCCTTGTGCAACTGGCCAAACTTTGGTTGCAATACCCAGTCTTTCTTGCCTCTGCTTCTGTCCTTCACTGCTCCCCACAGCAGAGCCAGTGCTACCTGCATTTACTGTATGTTCCAATAGCTGGGAGGCACAGGCGTCAGACTGCATTTTTGTATCCTCCCACAGCAGAAGCTGTTTTCCTCCCAGCAAAACAGCACAGAAAAGAACCATGGCCCTTCACAAATCAATGGAGTCTCTGGACAGAATGAGAAGTGTAGGCAAAGGGGGGAGTTTTGCTGGGGTAGAAGTGGTTTAGCCATAGGGTGGAGATATTTTCCATGCCCAGTGCCATTTTCTGCTATAGTCTGACCATGAAATGATACCTCCCATAGATCACAACACTTAATAAGGAAAAAGAGAAAGATGCACTCCTCTACCATATATCCTGCCAACCTTCTGCTCCTTCTTCCAACAGGTTTTAATTGTAACACAATCTTTACTAACATTGTGGTGCATGACTCACACCTGTGCTGTTAAAACCTCAGATGCTATTGCCCATGAGAGAGGCATGTGTTAGCAACATACGACAGGAGCCCTAAGATGACAGTGTGGTTTACTGGGGTTACCTGCATTTGTCATTGTTTTGTAAATAACTAACCCTCCAGAACACATCCTGAGTGAGCCCATTGTGAAACCAAAGCAGGAAGGATTAAAGAGGATCCCAGAGAAGTATTTTGTTTGGTATTTTTCTTAAGCAAGAAATTCAGTTCATGAGAAAAGAGATTGTAAACAGAGATAAATGTAGGAGAAGCATGTGGGAAGGCAAACATTATTATAACAAATGAAATGGAGGAAGCTGGACTTGCACATAGAAAAGTAAGTTTGAGCACTTCTGAGCTGTGCTTTTTCCTGTCTGAATGAACTTTTAGCCTACATTCTGAGGTGAAAGGTGAGCTCTGCCCTCAGCGGGAAGCAGCAGGTCTTTATATCAGTGTCATCACAGGGACAGCAAGGATGTATGGTGGGACAGATATGTAGCAATGTGGGCTAGGGCTGTGCTCAGACTCTTGCTCTGCTTCTGCAGCTCTCTGTCAAGGATCCTGGGTTACACCAGGCTAGGTGTGAGAAGTGTTTGACAATGGCGTTCCTTCTGATGCTGCCCATCCCTGCTCAGTGTGGCCAAGAAGCCCTCCTGCAGCTGCAGTACCTCACTTTGCTGGCCTTGGATACACTAGAAAGCCATCACCCAGCTTTGCCTCTATGCTGATGGAAATGAGATGTCTGCAGACATCTCATTTCAAATACTTGTGTAAAGCAATTGGCTTAGCTGCTTTTAAATGAAACCCCATGGAGATCAGCTGAAACCATTAGTGTTCCCTAGATGATCCAGGCAGTAACATTTACTGGTTAAAGCATATGCATTGACTAAAGAGTTTCTGACACCCAGCCACTCCTGTCTGCTGAAAGCTTTGTATTTCAGTGGGGAACCATGAACTGAAGATTTGATAAAGTCTTTAATAGCGCTGAGGAATAGGGCAGAGCATTGCCAATTTCTCCAGTTTTTAGAGGCAGCTATCATGTGACAGAATTCAGGGGCCTTAATTTGCATCAAACGCAAAATAACTTTCTTACGTAAGCAGAACTGACTGTAGAAAACAGCCAGTGATTTATCTGTGAGCTACAGGACAGCAAGGAAACAGGCAAGTGAGCAGGAAAAGGTCACTGGCCTTTATGCAGAGGGAAAATTCAAAGTACATTGTCTGCTATCATTGTGTAAGTGAGAGCACCTGGAGCACGTCCAGCCTGCTAACATGAAAATGCAAAATTTCACAAATGGCGGGCACGCAGGGATCCCTGTAGCCATGCAGGAATAAAATTGGCTCAGGCAACAAAGGGAGGAAGAAGAAACAAACAAATTAAAAGATCTCAAGATATCTTGTGGCTTCTCCCCGCTAGTCCAAGCAGGCTCATTTCCACCAGGATTTATGAAAGATAGAGACAGCCACAGCAAGTTTGTTTGTCACAAATAAAAACTGAGAGCAGATCGGTGGGAAAAAATGCAGTTTAGGACATGAGTCTGCTATTATGTACTTAAAGCTATAAAATGGTGACAGTGGGAAACCATTCAGTGATATCTAGCTATAGATGAAGAAAAGAAGGGGAAAAGAAAAAGAGTAAGAGGTGGTACCTTCTCTACTGATCTAGAGCTCATTTGCATTGTATCTTTTATGCCTGTGCTCTTCTGAGTGTGTCTGCTGCCGACTGTAAGCTCCTTGTGGTACTGGCCAGTCCCTCTCCCTTGCCAGATTCCAAGAACAGCTCCTCTGCAGTGGGTCCAACAGACAGTAACAAACAGCAGGAACCACTCTAAAGTGACCCTCCTCATCACTGAATGTTCTGTGCCAGATGCAGCACACCAAAACTTTGGCTGCAAATACTGGATTAGAAGCAGACTGCATCAACCTTTTTTCTTTTTTTTTTTTACTTTTTGTCTCATCAAAATTTATGGGAGGATTAAAAAAAAAACCAAACTGCAAATTTGCTACCAGCACCAAGGGATTGGGGAACTGCCCTTTGCTCTCAAGTGATTTCCATCAGAGCGGAAGGCATGCATACCACAGCTCATTCTGAACTAGCAGCTTTTTACATTCACTTGGCAGAGATGTGAATAAGAGGGATATGTTCAGCAGAGAATCAGCTCTCTGTAGCTGCATATCTAGGTATCTGAGCTTGCCATTGAGGTGGCAGGTATTTGCCTGTTATCAGATGAAGATGGTCTGCTAACAACAATGACCACGATTTCAGCAGGGCAGGTGAGTCAATCTAACAACTCACTGCTACCCTGCAGAAAAGGAGCCACTTGGTTTCTACCAGGTTAATGAGTTGAGTCAGCTCACCGAGGGCAGCATAAGGAGGGCCAGAGCCAAGGCAGGGTGAGCAGTGGGAATGCACAGCCAGGAGGAGAAAGAGTTGTAAGACAGAACCTCCCAGTCCTGGCAGCAGGAGCTATTAGATCACCTCATCCTAGGCTGCAGACTCAGCAAAATGAAAACTCAGTTGGCTTTGAGTTTGCCATAATGCCTTTACACTAGTAGGGGATCTTTTCTTAAAAGCTTGATTGGAAAATCAGTGTGGGAGCAGGAAAGGGGGAAAGAACTCAGATCTGCTATAAACACTATATCACCTCCATGGAAGCTCACAGAAAACCTTCTCATTTAAGCAACAAACCTGTAAGAGTTTCTGATTGTTTGTATTGTACATGAAAGCAGAAAAAAACCTAATCCCTAAAATAGTCACTAATAGTAAAATTCTCAGTCATTCAAGCTATTTTCAGCATTATCTCTGGAGGGGAATGGACCATGCACAACAGTTTTCAGAAGAAAAAGAAATAATAAGGAGAGGTACCTTGCTGCCCTGTGAAATAGACAAATTAGTGCCACATGTTGCTGATGCTTCTCTTTCTGGGTGAGGTGCAGCTATCAGTCATGTTTATCAAGTTGGAGAGCACACCAGTGCTCGCAAGTTTAAAT